ATATAAAGCACTGAACAATATGTTCCCTCAATATATCCGAGACTTACTTACCATATCTAATAATCAAAAGTATAATCTAAGATCGATATCTCACGGAAATTTAATTTCGTCTTACAAACCACTTACTAATTATTTTAATGACACATTCTAATTTAATGCCATGGTTATTTGGAATTCCATACCGCTGACTATAAGAAGAAAAACAAAAATGTCAATATTTAAGAATAGTTTTAAGAAATATTTATTTGATCAACTTTAGCACGGTCCGTGTGTATTATATATAAAAGATACTCTCTTTATATTTATACATGTGATTTTTTTATTATTATGTTTTCTAATAATGGGTGTCTGTCTTAGTTTTTAGTTTTTGATTGTGTTAATTATGTAAATTATCTTTACATTTTAAATTGCAGATTAAAATGATGCACTGAGGAAAGTATTATGTTTAATAATAAATAAAATGAATTGTATGAATGTTCAGTATATGTGTTAAAGTTACATTAAATAAATATTTGCCGTCGGTCTAAAAATCAAACATTCTACAGTTTCATTAACCTGTTTAATAGTATTGTTGTAAATCTCATCAAATATTGTTCATAAATAAGGATTTTAAACGGGAAACCCCACGGTAACACTAAAATTCGTATACGAATTTTAACATGCAAATGAAGACGATAATGAGCTCGTGTATGAGCTATGTCACAGTTTTATGTATGCTATCCGGAACACAGCAAATGTGATATTTTTTCTTGTGCACCGTTTAAGCTTTACGGTGCACTAAACCTGGGGTTCAGTAAAAGTAATCATCTCGTAAAAAGATTAAATTTGTATGAAAACATCCGTTACAATGCGGAAATATACCGTTAAATTAGGACTGTCACTTATAGTCATGTTTGTTGATTTAATATTGATGTACGGATGATCCGCAGGCGGAGTTTCTCATGCAAACAGCAATTGTACTTCTCATTTCGCCACAATGAGGTTACCTATTTCCATGCTAATAAAACTCATTTTGGTTTTTTGGACACGAAAATAAGACCTGAAGTCGATATAAAACCCAATTTGTTAATGAAATGTCGCTATTTAGTTTTTTATGAAATTTATTAAATGTAACTTTAAGATATATGTTAAAATTGTAATAACCATTTAATCATTTCTTTAACATGTTATATTTTCTTTGACTTTTATGTGTTATTTTGTGTGTGCGTTTTTATTTTAATTTTTTTTATTTATTTTTTTTATTTTAGAAGGCCGCATTGTAAATAAGATGTTGCAATATGTACATGTCTTAATGTGTTACTTTCGATAAATAAAGTTATTATTATTATTGTTATAATGATTGTTTAGATCGTGAAACATATCTAGAATGGTCCAAAAAGGTGAGTCCAATACTTTTGAAAAACAATATGTTTTAATTTTTCAATTTATTATTCATTAATTGTAGATTTATTGACTTAGTCAAAGTTTGCATAGCCCCAAAAAATATTTGACCTTGACTAATGAAATACATGTACCTCTTACGTGCATGCGCTAGAATTATTCAACTTTACAGGAATGTTTATCCGCATGTGAGGCTGGTCGAACGTATAGCGGTGCGATACTACTTTAAGCGAGGTAAAATCACGCGATATGGACTAATGGCGGCTTTATTCACGTAAACACATATCAGGGTGCGTGTATTTTAGTAATTATTTCATAAATCTTCGATAACAATTGCATATTTTGTATTTACGCTGTAAAGATAGGACCGACACACATTTCATCAAAATTACAGAGGCGCTTAAATTTATAATTAAAAAAGTTATTGAAGGTAAACTGACGGCAACTTATTTTGTGTCGGTGAATAAAATCGCTTAAAGCAATCTTATATTAATATAGTTAATTTCTTTTTCTGTTTTATTCTATAGGGATAATCATAATTGAGTTGCACCGATATACATAGACGCTTACTTGTCAAAATATTTAAGTGTACGCTGGTTTTTGGTGCGATAAAATAACAGTACGCTATAAAAGGTTCGATATTTATTCATTATCACATCTGTTGTATATGTTTTCCTATGATTATACTAAGAGATACTACCAGATATGTGTCCCTTTCCGGATTTCTGAAAAAAAAAGTTTTTTTATATCTTCTTCTTTCCTTAAGAGTTTACTTCAAATTAAAGTTTCGTATCACCATCTATACTAAATGAACTAAATTTTGATAATGATATATCTACCTCTGATAATTAGGAGTTGGAAAAAGTAACCTATACTCTTAGATCTTAAATAACTATATTTCTTGTCATCTTTCAATTTTTAACAACGTTCGTCGCTACTGTATCTTCATTCCAAAAATTTGACGCCCTTTTCAACAAAAAGAGTCTTGTTTTTTGTACTCTATCTTGTTTGTGATTTATTTTTTCTTATGATCATAGAATTCGTGTTAATTACTTTTTGTCTGTAGTGTAAATCATTACTGAAGAATCTAATATGCAATTTAATTTTGTAGTTTATTTTCAACTTTCTTCATCTATGATATGTCTGGCATTTGATTTTGCTCTTGATATTGATTAGGCAATACTGTATTCCTAGAAATTATTTCGCGCATATTAAGTTAGCGCTTTTCGCGTTGAATACATATTCGCGAATCTTTGTATCCGAGAATAAGTTACATGTAACAAATCCGCGAACATGTGTACCTTAGCTTATCATCATGTCATAAAGAAGTACTATGATAAATAATTCATAACTTTAGCCTATACTTAATTGATACTGTCTTGTCTTGCATGTATAAAGTGAACAAATACAGAGACCTAATTGAAATATAAGTAATATATATTCTCTTTACCCCAGCGACTTAATATTCGCGAAATTCACAGTCACTATGATTGCCACGAAAACGTCATCCTGCGAAATATTGTAGAAATACAGCATATTTATCGAAATTGACTTTCATCTTTCTTTACCTATCTTATATGTCTATCTTTTTACACATCATTACATTTACTCATTTGTTTCTTTTCAGTGTCTAAAGATGCAACGATATAAGAAGAAAACTCATTTGAGACTTTATAAAAAATGTCAACGTAAAAGGAACATCGCAATCACATCATAAATATGTTATTAAAAAATAGAAAAAAAAACATATTATTAAATGATAAAACCTTTACTAAATGAATGGAATAAACAAAACGAATATTATCGTTACTATTGAATATTTGATAGAATTTTCAGAAGTTTCTGTGCAATAACTTATCTAATTTTAATAATTAAACTTTGTGAGAAAAGAATATTTAAATTAACTATATCATAGTTTAACATATTAAGTAACACTGTTGTTTTAATTAACTGTGACTTACATATGATTAACATACAAACACAAAACTTGATATTTCATCAAAATTGAATAAGAATGTGCTGTAATGAGGAGGTCCCCGTCGCTACAGAAAAACACACCAAAATGTGTGCGCACAGTCGGTTTATTGTGGTACAGTAAGAAAACTACTGGAAATATTGTATATATTTTCGGATAGATATGGAAAATTACTCTTGTATATCGTTTTGTTATCAAAAATAAACATTTTGTATCTTTTCTTTTAAACTATTAATATATTATTCGTTTGCATGTACATATCAGGTTTACGGTTGAATTTGCAGTAAGAAATACCTAAATAACTTCCTCAATACTATAAAATTAATACTTGGTCAGGTCCCTCATCTGCGCTTCGGGCCATATACCTTCCTCAGTCTGACCAATCAGTCCGTAAACTTGCATATTGCCATCATGGCCATGTTTTATTTGTTAAGTAAGTCATTGCGTTAAATCGTATATGAGAACTATGGCATTGTTTGGCAATATTGATTTGAGACTAATGTACGGAAGCTTTTTCGTTAGTTGTCATAAACCATGACGATTTACTTAATTGATTTTTAATGATGGTCTATTCTTCAATACTTTAATTCATAAATACGACCCGATGGCCTAGTGAATAGTATGATGGCATAGCAATCGCAAAATTGTTAGTTCGAATCTTTGACAAACTATCTATTTTTATTTTTTTTATTTCTTTTAATTTGTAGCATTAGTTGATAGATCATTTGTTTCAATATCTTTTTTTTCTCAAATATTCATAACCTAATTATATACATGCATATTTTTCATAGTGTCAATATGTTAAGTTATAAAATGGGTGATTGTCACGCAAAAAAGAACACCATAATAGTCAGTTATCATAAAATAAACAAACAAAAAGAGTAAAAAGAACGAACAAACGTTTCATTGATACTTAAAGTGTTAACACAGTGCCACTTAGTGTTAGGAAATTTTAGGATATACATAAAGTATTAACAAGATCAACAAGGTAGGGCGGCGTTCAATGAAACCAAGTTTTCCGCCATGCTTTACTTTAAAGTCCGTATTACTTACTTCGGAATCAGATTATTACCGACAAGGGTTAATTGTATATTCAAATGTCTCAGGTCAGTATCGCCAAACAATATTCGAATAATCATAATCCATTACAGAAAGCAGTAATGTAAATATGTTCATTTTTTGTTACGTTTGCTTTGCTGTAGAATAAGACATATCTGGCCAATCGTTAATGATATCAACCATTTCACTATCTTTCGAATTAATTGCGATTATTAAACTGATTTATGAATGTAATTTATCCGCTACTGTAATTGAATACAAAACTTGTCATTTATTGTTTTTAATAAGTAAATAAAATATTGTGTATGATAAACACAATCTTGTCATATCTCTAAATATCTTTTATGTAAATATGAACAGAGTTAACTACGGTAATGTACAAAAACGAAATCAAACTGATAAGAGCGTATGTGTTTTCGAAAAACGTGGACAAAAATGTTCTCTGCGTTAACAAGGAGCGTACCTCATCGTTTAACACATTTATTAAAATATAGCTATGCTTGAAATAAATATGAATACCATACAAGATTGAATTGTTCCTTAAGCTACAAAAATGTATGTCTGTTATGGAAAAGAAATGTTCATGACCGTTTCAATATAATTTAATATCAGTAGATAAATATTCTTGTTTAAATATTATAATTCCGTTGTACTCTCAATGTTACATAATATAAATATAATATTAAACAATATATTTTTTGCATTTACTTGATAACGCTTCACGATATAATTAATATTCTAAATTGATATTTTCTCTCCTTTAATTGTTTTTTTAGTCTGAACTTGTTAATCAACGCGATTCATAGAAACGTTAATTTCAATATCATCAGCACTGTGCTTATCTTTTCATTCAGGAAATCTTGAAATGCACATCACAATTAATTAAGTTTAACAAATGCAGATGCTGATAACATTATAACATCGCTTCTAACGTTTGCTATGGCAGTTCCTACATACATCTTTAGTCTGAATCATAGTAATAGTCGTAGTCTGAATCATAGTACGATGGGACGTAACAATCGTCATCCGACGATGAGTCGTCATTGTAGTAATCATCAAAATCCTGTTGGTATGTATACCTACTATAAGCTTCTGTTGATGTCATATTGCAATGTGGGCATTCGACGTGACAACGGAGTATAGATTTTGGAAGAGATATTTCAAAACATTTTTCTTTAATAGTGTCAAGTGAACATAACGCTTTTTCCTTTGGCAGTGTCAACTGTTTCCATGCTATAGATTCATCAGTTTCCCGAGAGACTAATGTTTGAAATGGTGTACATTCTAATATAAATTTTTCTCCGTAGTCTTTTCGATAATATCGATATATTATCTGACTGCATATGAAATATTTAATTTGTTGAACATCTTTATTTTCGAATGGAATTTCTTCTACCAGATATTTGTTGGAAAGACACGCGCCCTGCATTCGTGTAAATGTTATGCATCTCTTATTATCGTAGATTACAAATCCATCTTTAATCGGAGCAATTTCATCGTTGTAGCTGGTCGTTTGTTTTTTTTCTTTCCAAATGCCCTTCATTTACATCATAAAGTGACACATATTTTTGTGACTTTAAGATGAATGCAATAGCGCTTTCACTTATGGCGAATTTACGTATTTCGTCGTCTTTGATAGAGAAAAGTGGTAACATGTCTACATTGCTATCACCGATATGCCCAATATACAGCGTTGAAATAGCAATATAACGAGAGGTTGATAATCTGTTGTCTATCATATGTTGTGCAACTAACTGATCGTATGATGCCAGTCCCAACAAAGACATTATACGTAACCTTTGGTGGATATCGCCGAAACTGGAATCTTCATATAAATTTTGCATTTTTTTTATTTCTTTGTTTACCGAAACAATACATACGTGTCCATAAACCTTTATATTTTCAGGCTGTTTAATGCTAAAATCATCTTCGTTTGCCGTAAAATTCATTTTTGTGCATGCATCCTTCGGTAGGTCAAGCAGCATAAAACTCGTCTCTGGATAGCTTCTTACGGAACAGACTAGTGATCCAGTGGTTTTCGTAAATGTTCCAGATATTTCAACAGTGCCACCCGATCTGTCTTCTTTCAATGAATTTGATTTGACTCGAAACCACTGATCTCTTTCCAAATCTAAACACCAGAATGAATCCCCGTAGTTACCTTCTTTCATAATGAGAACTCGTCGATCATTCGATCCAACAGTCGTCATACATTCTGATTGTATATGGCAAGCAACATCTGAATTATTCAACGCTTCTTGCAAGCATTGATTGGAAATCGAATGGAAATCTATGTTTGACAGTAATTCCTTCATATGAGCCTTCCTAGTATTTGGATTTGCATCTAACCATTTAAGTAAAAACAGTAGCCTGTCGTCCATTTGCACGTATGATAGCCGTGTATCTGAAAACAGCAAGAGAATGGAATCTTTTGTCAGGTTTATCATTTGTGGCAACAGAAGCATTTCTGGCAGATGCTCTTCAATGTATGTTGTACACCTCGGTAATTCAAAATCGTAAATGCTTGACAGCTGTAAGAATTTCATGCAGTTTTCTCGAGTAACAGAAACAGTTTTCAACCAGGCTATGCAGGCAGACTTTAAGTTTGGAATAAGAAGAAACTCAGCCATGTGAAGTATATTTTCGATATTTTCATCATTCAATTTGGGCTTCTTACCATACAGGAACATGATAGTTGTCTCAAGTGTTGCAGGTGTTCCCATTGCTATTTCAATTATACCTGTAAACAAAAATTAAAACAAAACTTATTGTTGCAAAACTTATTAAAATACGAATCGTAGCTCAGTTCTACATCAATGTGCTCTGCAAAATCTCAATTTAAACATACTTGATATATTTAAATTTTACCTAATCTTAGGATGTGTAGTGTTTTCAACTCCAATTTTATCAAGAGAGAAAACAGAAAGCCCAAAACGACAAATTTGAAAATGTTGCAGGCTCGTTTTGATTGAGCCTGTTCATGGCCGATAAGTGAAAGTGACTGTCCTCGCCCGCTAGCACCGGTTAAAGCAGAATTCAACTTTTAAACATGTAATTGTAAAATTTTGAATTAAAAAACATCTGCAGATGTGTTTTTACGGCGGTTATCATGGAACCTTCAATGTGACACAGTAGTGTCATTCCATGAAAAGCGGCGTATGGTCCCAAAGTAATAAAATCTTCAATGTGACACATCCGTCCGTTTCCGTTAAAAGCGGCGTATGGTTCCCAAGTAATAGAAAGTGTGTGCCTTAACGAGAAGACAATTGGTGGAACTAAACAGAATGGAAACTTTGAAACGGGATCAGACGTTATGAAGCCTGCATATCACGGAGAAGACGTCAAAAGACAAAGTTAAAAAGCAGGCAAAATATCCTAAGGAGGATACAACATTATTCAAGAAGGAATATTGGAACCACCTAACTAGAAAATACGAACAATTCCACAAACACAAAAGCAATGCCGTGCTGAACGATCTTTAAGGATAGGAAATATAACATATCTGATTGACAATACCGGGCGACTTTTTACAGCCTGAACACGGCACAAACCATGCTGATGTGGCGAAACAAAAAGAAAAAATATGACTCCCTAAAGAAAGCCCAAAACGGCAAAATTAAAAATGTTGTTGATCTATCAATTTGGTTTCTGTTTAATGTGAAGCCAGAACAAACAAACTACCTGTCTGCCTTTCCAGGAAATTGTCGTTGAGAACATGGTCAAAGAAGGGACTTATTACAAGAATACATCGATGGAACTTCTTCTCCTGTAAAAATATACAAAAAAAAACGGTTGAAGTAAGATTATGTAAGAATAATATTGATAAATTGATATCAACTACTGACCGCATAAACAATAAATGAGCCGCGTCATGACAAAACCAACATAATGGGTTTGCGACCAGCATGGATCCAGACAAGCCTGCGCATCCGCGCAGTCTGGTCAGGATCCATGCTGTTCGCTTACAAACCCTATTACAAGTAGAGAAAATGATAGCGAACAGCATGGATCCTAATCAGACTACGCAAAGGCGCAGGCTGGTCTGGATCCATACTGGTCGCAAACCCATTATGTTGGTTTTGTCATGACGCGGCTCAAATATATTTGTTGAAGGTGTCCCTTCATTCGTTTATTTCTTCAAATCAAGTTATGAAAGTAAATAACTAAGAAATATAGGTCATACAAGTAATGTCAAATATCAAGTGATTTTATAGATATAATTTGGTGATAAAATTTGTAACGGTATAACCTTAATTCCTGCGTTTAACTAAAACGGATATTTCACGATTTTCGAATCCCAAACCCGAAAGATGTTTAAAGATGTTAACTTGTTAATAAATTTAAAAAAGAACAAGCTTAAAGATTGCTCTTAATTTGTTGAAATTGTTTTCCCATCCTTTTGCAATAGTTAACAGTACACCTGTATGTACATTTTATCAATTTTATATTATTCAGATTCGACTTTATCTCTACCAATACTCGTTAATCGGTATTTTATATAGCTTGGTTAGTTTACATCAGATTAACATTTTCTAAAAATGAATTTTACAATACCTACATCATATATTTTGTAATACTTAGTAATACGAAAGACACAACATAAGATATATAATGTGAATGATGTACTTTGTTTATTATCACAAAATGATCACTTAGCCCAATGTATATTCTTTCTTTCTTTTTTTCTTTTTTACTCTTTCTTTCTTTTTCTTTCTTTCTTTATTTTTCTTTGTTTCTCTCTGTTATTGTTGTTGTATGTGTGTTTTGTTACGTACACATTTTTTCAAATAACGTACTAATGCATTTCGTTTTTAGATCAAGAAATTATAACGAAAGATATATATGTATAATTACGCACTAATATGCTTAAGGAGTAAGGAACTTGCTCTTTTGTGTAGTAAAGCAAAGGAAACATTTATTCAGACTCATGTATCAAATATGTTCACAAACAATCAAATTAATCACTTGTAAATAATTATGAAAGTAAATTAGAGTCATGTGTGATACCGTATCAAATAGATTTATTTGTATAGTGACCAATGATACTTTATTACCGTCCGGTCCTATACGACTTTAGTAATACATTAATAAAAAAGAACATACCCATAATCCCATTTTCACTGTAACATCACACAGGTTCGACTGATTGTTCACCTGCTGAACTAGACGCTTCCGGTTTGATTCAGGTTTAGTTTTTCCGGCATCGTAAATCATTACAAACTGACTCAAATTAATTTATAACATACCAGTTAGAAATTTTTAGCAAAATGTTACTTATAATGTCTTTAGTTTTTAAATTTTAAACATTATTCCAGCATGATGCTGTATAAAATGTAATTATTTAGCTCTATTGAATCACTTTCGAAACAGTGCCCTAGAGATACAAACCAGAAAAAATGTAATTTGACGAAACATGATTGTGACTTAAGTAGGTGTAATGTTACTAACCAGTCTATAAACTTACCTTTATGCGATATTTGTCTCGAAATAAATTTGATAAAACATTCCAATAAGTTTCTTATTCTAATAAGCAGCTTATTCTAATAAGCAGATCTTATCAATAACTGTCAAGCAGGTTTCAGAAAAAATCATTCAACTATTGACAACTTGGTTTGTTTTACAATGCCTGGTAGATATACTAAGTGCAAGTTAAAAAAACGTTTTTGTATTTATGTTTATTGATTTCAAACAGACGTTTGATACTGTATGGAGAGAGGGTCTGCTTAACTATAATATTAATGGATTTTTTTCAATCTTATAAAAAATATGTTTATCAATATATAAAATCAAGAATTAAGACACATGAAGCTTTATCAAACTTCTTTTAATGTATGGCAGGTGTTAGGCAAGGCGAAAACTTATCTCCTCTTTTGTTTTAATATACTTGAATGATTTGGAAAACTTTTTAAGCTTCGGAAATTGCGTAACTTGCACTGTTAGAACCAATGAAATTGGAAAAAGTTTTAAGCTTTTTATAGTATTATATGCAGATGATACCATATTACTTAGAGAAAGTAGTGATGACCTACAAAACTCATTAAATCTCTTTGAACAATATTGTGATCAATGGAAATTTACAGTAAACACCAGTAAAACAAAGGTAGTTGTATTTTGATCAAGGAATAAAATTGATCAAAACAACTTTAAATTCACAGAAGCAAATCTTGAAAACACTGATCAATATAAATATTTAGGTGTCTATCTACCAAAAACAAAAAGTTTCATTAAAGCCAAAAAGCATATAGCAGAATAAGCTAAAAAAGCAATGTTTTTTTCTCTTTAGGAAGATAAGAGCTCTAAAATTGTCATTTGATTTACAGATAGATGTATTTAATAAAACTATATAACCAATACTACTCTATGGCTGTGAGGTTTGAGGCTTTGGAAACAATGAAATAATTTTAAGAACATAACTTAAATTTATGAAACTTATTCTTAATCTTTAAAAATCTACTCCATCTCATATTATATACGGCGAATTAGGAATTAAACCAATACAAACAGATATTGATACAATAATTATCTCTTTCTGGAGTAAAGTTACTGACCCAAATAGCAAATAAATTGTCAAATAATTTATATCTCATAATCAATGGTAAGCAGAATAAAGGGACTTTAAATTCCAAATGGTTTAAACATAGAAAAAGTCTTATTTTTAAACATGGATTTGGGAATATTTGGGAAAATCAATCTGACATAAATAGAAAATGGTTTTCATTAGCATTTAAACAAAGAATACATGATCAGAACATACAAACGTGGAATGATACATGATAATGTAGTGTGTCAAGGTCTACAGGCAGTATCAATTATAAACGTATAAAGGAAATTTCGAAATTAATAAATATTTTCAACTTATACAAGATTATGTTTGTAAAATATTAACATCTTTTAGAATAAGAAATCATATACTACCTATTGAAACAGGAGATGGAGTGATGTTCCTTTAAATGACAGGAAATGTCAGTTGTGTATTGACAATGACATTGGTGACAAATACCACTATGTTCTTAAATGTATTGCCCTTTCTTAACAAAGAAAACGATTCATCAAGTCATATTTTTATGAAAATCCAAACACAGTGAAATTTTATGAGCTTTTAAATAGTGAAAATAAAAATGAACTTATCAAACTTTGTAAGTTTATTGAAAAAAAAAATACCAATGCTATTAAGAATAACTCAATATAGGATAGAAAATAGTTGGTTATCTTTATTAAATATATTACAAAAGACAATATCAAGTCTTAATTTCTATTTCTGATATATGTTAAAACAAATATCAATACCGAATTTTGTTAGTTAAACAATCTAAATTCTCTATCATGACATAAATAGAAAATGGTTTTCATTAGCATTTAAAGAAAGAATACACGATCAGTACATACAAACATGGAATGACAGTGTGTCAAGGTCTACTGGCAGTATCAATTATAAACTTATAAAGAGAAATTTCGAAATTAATAAATATTTTCAACTTATACAAAATTATGTTTGTAAAATATTGACATCTTTTAGAACACGAAATCATATACTACCTATGGAGTGGTGTTCCTTTAAATGACAGGAAATGTCAGTTGTGTAATGACAATGATATTGGTGACTAATACCACTATGTTCTTAAATGTATTGCCCTTTCTTAACAAAGAAAACGATTCATCAAGTCATATTTTTATGAAAATCCAAACACAGTGAAATTTTATGAGCTTTTAAATAGTGAGAAAAAAATGAACTTATCAAACTTTGTAAGATTATTGAAAAAAGTACCAATGCTATCAGGAATAACTCAATATAGGATAGAAAATAGTTGGTTATCTTTATTATATATATTTCAAAAGACAATATCAAGTCTTAATTTCTATTTCTGATATATGTTAAAACAAATATCAATACCGAATTTTGTTAGTTAAACAATCTAAATTCTCTATCATGACATAAATAGAAAATGGTTTCCATTAGCATTTAAAGAAAGAATACAGTCATGATCAGTACATAAAAACATGGAACGACAGTGTGTCAAGGTCTACTGACAGTATCAATTATAAACTTATAAAGAGAAATTTCGAAATTAATAAATATTTTTAACTTATACAAAATTATGTTTGTAAAATATTAACATCTTTTAGAACACGAAATCATATACTACCTATTGAAACAGGAGATGGAGTGGTGTTCCTTTAAATGACAGGAATCGTAAGTTGTGTAATGACAATGATATTGGTGACAAAGCTAAAAATAGAAATACCATTAAACGTCTGCTTCTACAGACCTAATTGATGGATGATCACCAAATTTTGTTTGTAGCATTTTTTGGTAGTCTTTTATTTGCTGATATTCATTTGATAAGCCCCTTTTAGGGGCAGCTAAAGCTAAAAATAGAAAAAATCTTTGATCATTATTTCCTACTGAAATAATTAATGGATGATCACCAAACTTTGTCTGTATCATTCTTATGTAGTCCTTTATCAAGTGTGTCATATTAATTTGATTGGCCCCTATTAGGAGCAACTATAGCTAAAATGCCCCGGGCCATGGCATTTCTTCAAATTATAGTTTAATAATGAAAGGAAAATAACTCCTGTTGGAATGTGTCCATATTTTGTGTACATGTATACATGTGAACTCTCCCAATTCGAGCAGGAGACACCCTCTTTCTCCTGTCAAATTATTAAATGTTTTTCTTAGAATAAGGGTTTTTTAAAAAGAAATAAAGAAATCTCCCTCTTTTTCATTTCAAAATTTCCTATGTCTATTGTCAATTAAAAAATCTCCCTCTTTTTAAGTAAATTCTCCATCTTGAACATAGAAAAAAAGTTCACTTGTATGTACATGTTATGCATAAAAAAGATTGAATGTCTTAATGTCATTACATGTTTGCTTTTCAGAGATCTTGAAGTAATGATTTGAGGTCATGTGCTGTGTATCTTTATGTTTGTGGTTATTGCATCTTTCTAAAGGTTCATTTGTAGGTCAATCTAGAGAATTTCCCCCAGGAAATGAAATAAGGCCTAAAGAAATATTATATTTGTGTCTGTTCCTTACTATCTTGGAGAAAGCACATTTCAATAGATATTGGGACACACTGTTGAACCTGATGTTTCATATGCATGCGATATTGACACTGTGTAACAGATAGATGATTGTTTTTCACTGAGACTCATTACAGTATATGTTGTATTATATGAGAATATGATAATAATATATAGAATAGCCTGATCGATTGACCTGTAACTGAACTGATCTTCTCCAGCTGCATAACCACTTTCCCTGATCTCAGGGTTTTTTAGGCTTGCGGCCATGGCCGCAAAGTCATTGTTTTGGAAAAGTTGTTCCGGTTAGGTGGTTTCCTGCTTACATTTGTTAGTGCATGATGGATCGGGAAACCAGTCTAGGTTTCCGCTGCAATCGTGACAATTCGGGCGATTCCGTCATACTGCGAAATCAGACGAATTAATATTATGGAAATCTAAGCTATTTTTAGTTACTTCGGTATTCCCAGTTTGTTAATATAAATATGATTTCTATTTTTACTTGATTTATCGGTTTAAAGCAGAAAATAAATTATAATCGAAATTGTTTCGTTTCATTATATACGTTTTCAAAAAGCATAAGTTAGTTTCTTTTATGATTCTTTTATTTCTTTTATGATTGATTTTTGTCTTTATTAGTTTTAGTTTTATTACAGAGAATGGCTACTGTAGAGACAATTCTAACGTGAACTTGAAACTACAGTATAACATAACGTCAGCTAAAAATAGCCAATGCATATCATTAAAATTACCATGTGCTGATCTACAGATAGCGCATCCTGTTTTGTCGGTATAGACAAGTGACATAGATATTTTAGTGTAACATAGTTGATACATGCATATGAATTGGTACAACGTATTATTATAAACGAAGTCTTTTAGTGCATTTACTTGTCTATAAAGCTGCAATATAAATGAAATTAGCAAAGTTCTGCCGAAACGAATGACTCTCTCTCTCTGGAAATGAAATGTGCACACTTGTTTCCCTTCAGTATGATAGATAGATAGATACTTTTATTTTCTCCACTCGGGAGAGCCTATGTTAGTATTTTTACCATTGATTATTTTCTTTATTAGTTTTATACAATAGAGAATAGATTTCAAATTGTTTTTGACAAACAAATATTCGTTGTTTTTTTTTTCAAAAAAAAAAGGATGTTACTGTTATCGTCAGCATGTTCCGGTTCAGTTATAATCAGTGGACTTCTGGTCCTTCTTTAGTCCAAATTTGCATGCATAACACTACCCTGTATGATATACAAATAATTTTAAAAAATAGTAATAATAAATTGACCCTAGGTCTATACCTGTTAAAACATAGGTACCTTGTTTTTTACTGGTATATAAAGTCAATTTATCATTTTTTTATGTAATTATTTCTTTATCATAAAGAATTGATTTAGGAGGTTTTACAAAAAAAAAATCATTCATCACTGGGCAAGCCTTTCCTTTTAAAAGGAAACTTTATCTTCTTTTTTTCAATCAATATTCAATTAATTTTTCAATAGAGAAACATTCGAACTAATAAGTTAAATGTTAATAAATTTGAATTTATTTTCATAAATGTAGAAATGACTAAAATTATTTTCATCTTATTTTACTTATAATCTTTTGTAAGTTAGCATTTTTACATTAAGGAACATATCTTAAGTTTAAGTGAACTCATGTCAACTTCAGAAGTATTTCTTGCTTGTCTTTATGTAATTTGTCTTTTTTTCAGTATCAGTTTCAATTATTTCTATTCAAAATCACATTTTGCAAACTTTGTTAAAAGTAATTTTGCACTGTTTCATACAAAGTTTGTAAAGTTGTTTTCATGTTCACTGAATACATTTCATCAAAACAACTTTTTGCCATTTTTCTCTATGTTAAGTTACGTTACAATTTATCCCATTTCTATTAGAGTGTAAGATAGTTAACCTGAAATGTTAACTTTCTGGTCGAGTTGACTAGTATACCTATGTTATCTAAAATAAATATTGACCGGTGGTGTCATCCTGACAAACAGTATATATGATTATATAAATACTGAGATTATGTAATTATCTAATTTTTAAGATAAGTGAAAAAAAGAAAGATCGCAATTTTGAAAAACAGTCATAGGCAAATTTTATCACAAATTAATGGATGGATGATCACCAAACTTGGTTCCTATCATTTTTACTATAAAGGAAAAAAACAATCACTGTCGGGAAACCATATAACTAGAGAGTCAAGTTGAAGTTGGCCCGGATTTGTCTTTCTACAAGTTTATTTGTATTTGAAAAAAAAATCTATAATCACTGAAAAAAACAGTTGATTTTGGTGAGCGATTCAGGCTCATCATGGCCCTCTTGTTATAATTATTTATGTTTGTAAGCAATATAAACTATTCTATACCTAAAACACTGTCAATAGCATTGAATAATTGATTGATAAAATGAGTCGGTCTCTCGTGTAGTAACTAACTTCTTCGTTTAAAAATACATGCATATGTTATATTCTCAAACATTTTGGCTAACCTTAAATGACTTAGCGAAATATGAAAACAAAGATCTACTCTCAAAGTAATGTCATACTACACATCCCAGTCCGATTACGATAATCAACTGTTATTTGAATGAAAAACAGCGCACAAAATACGTTACAAATAAACAATTCTGAATATCTACTTGAAATTACAACATTAAATGGAATATACCATTAAAGGATTAATTTAATGCCATTATAACACGTATATTTTATGCATTCGTGTGTTTACAAAATTGTTGAATAATCATGTAATTTAACTTTTCATAAATCCTAGGTGATTCACACCTGCAATAAACACGATGTGTCAATCAGTACGAAAGCTCGTGTATTTGGGGCGGTGATAAACCAATCAGATAGAGTATTGAAACGAAATTCCCTTAACCACGTAATTTATTTAAGGATAGGCCATCTGTAAGTCAAATGCTTTTTTGAAAAGCTATTGAGTGCAGATTATATCAATGATTTCAAACAGTAATAAACATTAAAAAAATGTAAAACGAAGACTAAAAACTAGATTTTAAAATATGATATATCAGCTTACAAACATAAATATATATTGTTGTCTTCTATGTTATATACCTATTTTTTGTGAAAGCATCGCAGTGACCTATTTCTTTTAAATGTTTACATATTTGATTTGCTCATGTTTTTGTATATTATACAAACTGAGTGTTATTGTTAATGAATTGAAATTGTTTAATTGAAATTGAAGTTTCTTACTTTAATAAGAAACGTTGCTTCGGAGATGTTATATATTTTAAATCATATTTCATTCATTTTCATGTTTTATTGGTAATTAAAATCACAATAATGTAGTATCCGCTATGAAAACAAAAATAACAAAAGCATAATGATTTATTTAATAAGTACGAAATGCGATACTATACCTTGATAATCGACTATCCGATTTATGTATCACAATAAAATAGCAAATCGAAAGTAGGCTAACTTTTAGGAAAAGAAACAGTCATATTTTCGGAAAAC